AACTTCCACAATCACGTGCCAACATTCAACCTGACATGGCTAGTTGTTGGACTGATTCAGCAAGAGGACAACTGGACAGGCACAGATCACACCGCACCGATTTCCACCGTCTTACGGAAATCGGTCTGATTTTTCATAATCAAATTTTCATTAAATGAAAACTTTCCAAGTTGAAACCTTAAAAATGTTGGACTCGCCGTGCCACTTTAATATGGACATTGACCTTGATGAAATAATCCGCCGATTTGCAAGGCTTCATTTGAGAGATCTGAGGAGAATGGAACTGTCCCATTTTAATGATACACTAATTTTAATGATACACTAGTGAGCAGCACACTTATCCTTTCCGTGAACATATTCACTTGGAAGAAGGAGAAATCATGCTCGCCCGGGGTACAGAATCGAACTCGCAACCCTCCGAATACTAGATCGGACATTCTAACCACTGAACTAGCAGGGTTCTAGCGTTAGGGAAGTCGCTGAATTCTTCTATACCAGCAGAGTGTACTACACTTTTATACTGGGAGCTGAGTGCATTGCACTTCTATGCTCAGTTTCTCGTGTGGCTTCTTCTAGTTTTCAGTTAAGTAATTTTAATGATACACTAGTGAGCAGCACATGTGCACTTCCAGTGAACATATTCACTTGGAAGAAGGAGAAACCATGCAAGCCCGGGGCACGGAAAAGTTCGTGCACCGGGCGAGCATGGTTTCCGCACTGTTCACTGTTCACTGTAAGTGTAAGTGTGCTACTCACTAGTGTATCATTAAAATTACTCTACTAAATTACAAGCGCTTCCCTATTATTTTCCTGAAAATTTTAGCTGCAATGAAACACACTAGCACTGCTAGGAAAGTGAGAATTTTTTCTGATTCCTCTCTCCACCACATTTTTAATCCGAAAATTCTAGGTTTCCTTTTTTCTACGAAAATAGCCTGACCCTGGGAGTGAAATGTGAAAAATCAAACTTCAGAAACTAGTAGGGAATTTATTAGATAAGCTTCGAAAATTGTAGATGAATGGAATGGTCATCTAGAAATTTTTAGCCGTCCTCACGTAATAGAAAATTGTAGGTTGGCAATATTTGCTTCTCCGAACAGATATAGCTATTTGAAAGAAACCAGTCGTTGGGTTCCCCTTGGGACTGGGGCCCAGCTTTTTGGAAGGATGTCCAGCTGCAGCCGTCCTATGGAAAGGCCATTTTTGGAAGAAAGACAAGGAAAATTCATTAATCCCTTATAATTTTATGAGAAAACATGCCCTCTGGACGGTCAGTTTTTAATGTCTGACTAAAAGCCTAACTGGAGCCGTAGTTCTTCCCTTGGTAAGTCCGAAATATTGCAGGAAACCTTTACCTTGCGGACAAAAATAAAATCGCTTATAATAATTCAGATAAAGGAGGCACTTTGGAGAAAATTAAACAACCCAAAATCCTTATTTAGCCGCAATTAAGAGCTTTACATTTCAAAGAGGTCAAAGAGAACGTTCCTGCATCCGATACCATGCCGACCAGAAACAATAAGAAACCGCAGAAAATCAATATGCGAGTCACGACCTCTCAGAATAAAAAAGGGGCAAAAATCACATTTGCTAAGTCAAAACCTTTTTCCTTCAGAGCATAATCTACCCACCAGAGAAACATTTTTTGGAACAAGCAGCATTTTGGCACGAGGTAAAAGTCGTGTGTCTCCTACCCGGACCCCCCCCCCCCCCTTTTTACTACACAAACACACCAACAACAACAAAAAAAAAAAGCCAAAAAAAATCAAGAGGGGAACCACCCCCTCGAAAAAAAAAAGGGGCAAAAACCACATTTGTGAAAAAAAAACCTTTTTCTTCATAAGAGCATACTCCCCCCCCCAGAAAAATTTTTTGGAAAAAGAACAGTTTTGGAACAGGGGAAAAGATTCGTGTTTCCCCCCCCCGCCCCCCCCCCCCCTTTTTACACTAGGGAAGACTGGATATTGGAAACTACCCTTGTGGTTGGCCTGTTACGTCAGCCTTTGACGTAAGATACATTTTGCGGAAATTTTACGCTTTCCGCACGACGAGGTCAAAATTTCGCAACGATGAAGTTTAATCCGTGACGTAGCCTACTAATACAGTCGTTTCTCCTCGCTTCCCCCGCCCCCCGGGCCAAGGACGTTTCGCTAGGAGGAACGTCTGCGATTCAGCGAGCGACAGAAATTCCATGCTAATGATGTAAAATCTGTCCGGAATCTGGTCAGGAGCTCTGTTTGGCCGACGTAGTAGTTATATTGTTTTATCTGTTGTTTACGAATGATAGACAAAAGGCAAAAGGCCACAAAGGTCAAATGTAAACGTGATGAATGAACTACAAAACAGTCAATATTCCTAGAATATATCTTCTTTAGAAAAAGCATCTAAGTTTCACCTGAAGTTTTGTTGGAGCTCGTTCGCAAAAGATCACAAAACTTTACCATAATCGACCAGGAGAAATATAAAATCAAACCACTTTACATTTGGAACCCCATGACTACCGGATTTTTTATGTAAACATTGATTTACGTCATCAATATGGAATTTCTGTCGCCGAGTCGCAGACGTTCCTCCTGGCGAATCGTCCCTGGCGGCGAGGAGCTAGGAGAAACGGCTGTATTCACAGGCTATCCGTGACGGCAATTATTCACTACCCATCGAGTCTGATACGAGTTCAATATCTTTTCAACATCGGACTATAAAAAAAGATGATCAGATTTATACATAACCCCGAGCACTGAACTGATACTGAAATTGCAAAGTTGGTTTTTGGTTTCTCAAGTTGACTGTTGGTTGCACAACTTACATGTTGTGTATTTTAGTAGAATGCTTCGCGCTCAACTTTCAAGAACGCGTGATCATGTTTAATGTGGAGAGTTTTAGTTAACTTATTAACTTTCAATGTTGAAACGTGAAGTTGAAAGTTGGGTGCTGTAATTTAATGCTAGCCGCTCAAGTTGAATGTTGAGTACTAAAGTTGATTTTTGGCGGGGATTAAACACCATTCTCCCGAGGAATACGCTAAAGGAACGAAAAATGGATCTTTCAACTTGTTTACAGTTTTTTTACGCTCACTGACTCTTCAAGACTGTGCTAACATGTGTTAACGATGGATAGGCCCGGGTAAATAGGCCTTCGAAGTAGTCATGTATTTCGAAGTTCAGTCACCTCGTTTGGTCGAGTAATTCTGGGTTATCCAAAAGCAATAAAACTCTCTTTCTTCCCAAAAGCAAATGGAACAGAATGAGTCCTCCTGTTTTATATACTTCGACACCCGTGGAGGGCAAAACAACCTTCCCACATTTACCAAAATTTATATCGTAGCTCTGGTACCTCATGCTCAGTCCTTAACTGGTCAGAGTATTTTTTTCTCTAGCTTTTGCTTTCCCCCTGTGCTAGTTTAATAGCTACATTCCTATAAGTATATCTGTGTGTATGGGCGCCAGAACATGTTGTTTGTCTCTACGTAGCTGAAGTAATCTATTCTTAGATGACATAAAATACAAACATTACCTTTCTTTTCAAGACACAAATTGCCAGCTCAAAGCCTTCCTTCAATACAATGATACGGTGAACAGTAGCATGTAGCGTACATTGAAACTATAAGGGCGTATAAACCTATATGAACACAAAAAAATGATTTAAAAACGTCTTAGACAAGAAACAGAAGGTCACTCAAACTGCCTACTGAAAGCCCAATGACGTCAGTTTGTTAATTTTGATACAGCCAGCGAAGGAGAACCAGCGCCCACTTCTGTGACGTGGTTGAGAAAGCCGACTGACGATTGGTGAGATCTTGTTTCCTCTTCACGCTTGGCAAGGGACCAACAATGTCAATATGCGTGATTCTCTTCATAGGGATGCCGACTGGTATCGTGTGTAAGGGTGCCCTCGGTTTAGATCGAGACTTGCATGTAGCACATTACAGATAACTGCTAGAGTACGTCCATTTTACGCACCTACCGTCTGGTACGAAACTTTTGCGGGTTCTAATTTTTGCGATTTTTGCCGTTTTTCCAGCGATACACAAAATACGTCCTCGAAAATAAAAATTACCGCGAACGTTTTTCGTGCAAAAATTTACCCCAGAGCAAATATTCTCTAACTTTAATTCGTTACACAAAAATACAGTATTAAGAAATCGTTTCTGTTCAATAACAACTTGTCTCTTTCATTTAGAAACAACGAAATACCAGTTTATTGCTTGAAAACATGTATTTCTATTGCACGTACTCAATATCAATGCTGGGTACTGGGTACTTTCTGAAAATCGCAAAAATTAATTCCCAGCAAGAAAAACCAACCTGTCGAACTAATCACAAGAACTAGTTCCCGCAAAACACAAAAAATCGCCAATCCGCAAAAATTTCGTGCCATACGGTAGTTTAGGTAAAGAACAGAATGATGTAAAGGATCTGTGGTCACCAAAGAAGGCAACTTAAGCCCAATGTCAGGATCCTAATATTGGCCCAATTGTATATGAGATTCAAGAGAAGTGACATTTAATTTATCTCATACACAATAATCATGCGATCAAAGTCATGTTTGAGCCATATCAGGGCAGTTTATTGCACGTCCATTTGGGGAAAGTACAGCTGTCTTAGGAGGGTGGGTGGGAAAGCTACGGAACGCTAAGAAATACAACGCTAAACGGCGAGATAACAATACAAAACGTGTGTTCGTAATCCGAGACGTTATCTTATATGGAGAATAAATCGATATTATTAACACCATTTAACTATAGTAAAATGTTACTTAATTTATCTGATACACAATAATTACGCGATCAAAGTTATGTTTTGGCCATATCCGGGCAGTTTACTGCACTTCCATTTGGGCAAAAGAGAGCTGCCCAATGTCCAACCCAAATGGAAAGTTGGTTAGTGATCTGCAGCAGGTTCATTGAAAATGTAAGGACTCGAGTGGCGTACTGAAAATTCCTAGTGTGCGTTTGTGCAATCTTGTGGGGTATATCTAGGAACAACTGAAGACGAGAACGAACAGTTACTGTTCCATCGGCCCAGGAGTTTGATCTCATAGTCAGTTAAGCCAGCGAGGGAGGCGGACCTTGCAGCTCCGATTAAAAAACTATGACCACTGTAGTACCGACTTTGGTCCTCTTCAGCAAGTAGAGTGTGGGGATGGCGTGCTCGATTTCATTGAAGTGGCCAAATCGCTAGGTGTATTAATTGACAACAAACTTTCGTGAAAGAGTCATATTGACAAGTTTCATAGATCTTTTTCTGCCCAACTCAAAATGATAAAAAGAATGAAGTTCCTCCAGGGGGAACAACTTAAAGATGTTTACTACAAAATATCACGTGCTGTATATCTGTCTGGGAGAGCTGCTCTCACTATATAGCCTTTTTTGAAGATATCGAGAAACTACATATAAAAGCTGCTGGACAAATTCATGATATTCCCACCAATTATGCTGATCACCTGGTTCTTAATATCGTAAATGGCATAACCTAGCCTATATATATAAGAAAAGGGTGGTATCTATTTTTTCGGCACCTATGAATCTAGCAGGATGAGCTTTTCAATAAGGATAAGAGGAATGAATAGCGAATTTGGCGGATAATCCCTAATTTTTAGAGGTCCGGTTGTATCGAATGACCTAAATAACAATGCTAGAAATATGGTAATAAAGATCTATTGAAAAGCGCCTAAAAGCAATGTAACGAAATCGATCAAATTAGCTTTCAAACAGGAACCTGCGTTAACGTAAACGAGGACATTGAAGATTTTATATATTTTTAAGCCATTGCGTTATTTGTATATAAATTTATCTTAACTGATATGTAATGGATACAGTTTGTGATTAGTTTTAAACTATTAGGTAGTAATTATTAGATAATAGTAATGGACACAGTTTGTAATTAGTTTTTAATTATTAATTGATTATGTAAAGGTCCACATCAGCCTAGTACTGCCATTTTACTTTTAAACTTTTCAAATTAATGATGTATGTATGAGTGTAAGTATGATTAAGCGTAGCAAATGAAAGAGACGAGGGATATTTTGCTGACGGGGCGTTGGTCTGAAAGTTGAAACAAGGGCGTGGTAGCCTTGTCTACGATACCACGGTGATGGTGAAGAGCGAGGTTCTTTTTCATTGCGCAAACAGCGCAGAGTGTCCCGAATGAGCAGCATAAAGGGTGAAACCTTGTCGTCGCTGATGCGTTTTAGATTTTTTAAGTCGAAAGGAGAGATACTCTATGCAAGAAGCAGAGGAATGTAAACGTGCGTCAGAGCAGGTGAGGTGAATAGACGGATCGAAAAGGTGGCGAGAAGGAACTGTAAATTCGCCCACGCGGAGCATAGGGAAATGACCAGCGGTGATGGTCACCCATCTTACCGTGCCGTCGTCACACGTCGGGATGATAAAGGTCTGAATATCGATCGGAGAAAATGTCGAATGTAAGCGGCGTCTTTGGTTTCGGTGCCGAATAATATTTGCGTTCGATACCACAAAAGGTCTGTTTTGATCGCAAAATTCCAGGTTGAAGTGCATTAGGGTCTTGTGACATATGTAGCGAGCGCACGGCAGGGAGATAATCACTGATAATGGTTTCTTCGGAACTGGCAAGGAGACCAAGGATATATGTACAATGAGAGGAATCCGCGAGTCCTCCTACGAAGTAGTGATGCGCTTTCACTTGAAGCTGGCCAAGGGGAGAGATTTTACAGGCGTTGGAGAAAGGGAAGCCAAGGGACAGTCGGCCAGGAACTTGTCGACCTGAAAACGAGAAAGAGTGCCAGTAGTGGTGGTGGTGGATCCAGGGGAGGGTCCCGGGGTCCCGCCCCCCCCCCCCCCCTTACTTTTATACCAAACTCAGGCCCGAAACAATTCTCTTGAAACCCCCTCCCCCTTATTCCCGGCTGTGCATGACCCTCCCCCACCACTTCGCACAGGCACAGACTGGCCTCTGGGGGGGGGGGTGGGACCAGGGGGGGGGCCCCGGGGCCCCCCCCCCCCCCCCCCCTTTTTTTTTTACCCAACCCGGGGCCGAAAAAAATTTTTTTGGCCCCCCCCCCCCCTTATCCCGGGGCTTGGAGGCCCCCCCCCCCCCCCCCCCCCCCCCCCTTCTGAAGGTCTGGATCCGCCACTGCCGTCAGCCTAATGATTATCAACACCGTGGATGGCAACAAATATTGTGATGAGCGCAGGTGTGAGACAGGAAACGGAGAAGGGTCATAATGTGCTTACATTTGCTAGTACCAAAAGACAAAATGTGTACTACGGGTAAGTTATCGCAATGGAGCAGAATATTGCGACAAGCAAAGGATGCTGCCCAAGTGTAGACGGCAGCTGTAATGGCGAAGAGTTCCTTGAACATAACCGAACGGGACAGGGGACGTCGTGATCTGGGAATGACCCGTAGAGCCGGTCGCCTGCGTAATAGGCACCGAAGCTAGACTGGCATGCGTCGGTGTAAAGATCAAAATGTGATGAGGGGGGCCATTTGTCGTCATAGAAGAAGCTATGACCCTTCTAGGATGGGAGGAAATTTCTCCACCAAAAGGTGCCCTTGTGGAAGGCGTGATTCCGTCGAAGATGATTGGGTCGGACGGTGAGCATTGCAGATGACATCTAACATAAGATGATGATTTCGGCGAGACGAGTAGGATCAATGCGAAGTTTCTGGGAGACAGTGTCGAGTTCAATGCCAAGAACCACAAGGTTTGTTGAAGGAGAAACTGTTTGAGGGGATTGGTAGTAAATCCGAGGTCAGCACAGGTACGAAGCATAACATTAAGATTCGAATAGCAAACGGCGCTTGGAGCGGAAGGGCCACAGTTCCAAAAATCATTGAGGTAGTTCCAAACTGGGTAACACCACGGAGCGCCATCGTGTATCGCAAACCGTTAACAAATTTAAGAAATAGCGCCGGCGAACTCAGGAGACCAAACGGAAGGAACGAAACATGTCGAAGAAATAGCTATTACGCATAGATCCGTCGGACATAAGGAGGGCCAAGTGGACCCCAAAAGCTCTCAGTCACGAGGGTCCGCAAGTATATGGCGGAAGGCGTCTGAAAGATCGAGATACCTCATTGGAGCATTGGGACCAAACAATTTAAGGTAAGAGACATAGCCAGGTCGAGTAAGTCGTAGGAGCAGGTATATAATTCCTTGGAGATTGCGTCGTTAACAGACTGGACAGCGGGCCACGAAAGATCGTTAATGACACACCATTTGCGAGTGCTTTTTCGGGATAGCACCCATCGGAGAGCAAACAAAAGTCGAAAACGGAGGTACAAGGAAAGGCCCAGCCTTTCTGTTCAGGACAGTTCGCGTTCCAGTTCCTATGCGACGGGCGCAGGGTCAGCGGTTGCGGAAGGGTGATTTGAAGAAATAAAGTGGGTACGATCATGGTTAACACCAATACGAACGCCAAAATTGATGTCGAGTAATAATTCGTTTACAAAGTCACAGTCCGGGTGGGTACATAAAGCGTCACCCCAAATGTCAATTTGAAACGGGGAGCGAACTTGCAGTAGAGGGTGGACAAATTTGCCGCGGAGTAGTCCCCCCGACAAGAGTTCCAAACATGGGCGCGTTTGCAGTTGGCTCCCTGGTTACAGACATTTCGTTGAAAGAGGTTGCATCCCTCTTTGCCGGAGGGGGCGTACCATTTCGCGTACTTCAAAGGGGAATTCTTTTTCATTTCCGGTCGTCTTTTCTTCCGTCTGTTCTGGCGCGGGAAATGCACAGTCCTTGACCGGATGGTCAAAGGACTTGCATCGTGAACATTGGCGGGGGTTAGGGAGTAGTACCTTGGCACCTAGGACGGTCGTGTACAAAGTGGTATCAAGGTCACTCAGGCGTGCGCCACTATCGTGAAAAATCCTGGTGGAATATGCCATCCTGGTTTTAATGTCAAACAGGCAAACAGGGGGCCATCGAAATTTACGACTAGCAAGTTGTATTTGCTCGCGATAAGAGGCCAGTTCGAGGTACCGGTTGGTATGGGAAGCCATGACAAGTTTCTCGTATGCCATGCTCGTATGCATTCCACCCTTGTAGCCGTGTCAAAGAAATCAATATGTCGCTTAAGGGGCGCTTTGATTACGTAGGTAATGCGGTTTTTAAAACTCTTCCTTTCTTTGTTTAACCAGCTTTTTTTAGCACGATTCTTTGTCGTTTTGGGGGTTTCTCAGCCATTTTACCCTTATGGCATCCGAGCATGAGCCTACGATAATTTTGGGTGCGGTAATACACTGGACTGTCTCGACTTTGTGCAAGGTTTGAGTTCATTTGTGGTCTCAAAATGCAGGAAAAGGCATCTTAGAGGCACATATCCCCTAGACCCCCTAGAGGCTCACTCCTTCGGCGCTGGTGGGAGCGGCTATGCAACTCCTAAAACGTCCTTTTTTTGTAGTTGATAGGGTCAGAATCTCTGTGCCACTGACGGTGAAAACGTCTTTTTAGGGAAAGTTTCCTTGAAGTAGCCAGCCGATTGGGTAAGCCGCCTTGTCTGACATGATAAACCGGCTGGGTCTATATTCGCGTGTGCTTGGCCCCCAAAATTTTAAACCTTGACGCCAGTTCAAGAAGATTAGTTTCTGCGACAAGCCTCCATAAGCACCATGAAGAGTAAAACTGCCAGGACCACTAAGTTCAGACTCGTTCATGACTCTCGCATAATTTGGAAGCCATAGGTTCAAAAGCTTCTTCCACATTAGTGCAGTCCTTGGCACTTGTTTCTAACCGACACATGGAATTCAAATCAGCAAATTCCTGAAACAGTGAAACAAATAAACTATTATTAAAACAATGTAGGAAATTAGCAACTAAGAACATGCTGATAAGAATAACCTCCTGGAAAATACAAATGTCTGGGGTTTAAGAGGGTTCACAATAGATTTTTTCAACCAAGCATCCTGCTGCTATTTTTCATTCTATCCAGGCCTATGACCGCAATCCCGCTACCTGGTTAAGCCCATGTCGCTCTAGCCCCTCACACCATGTTTCAGCTTTACGTCATTCATAATCTTTTGGGGGAGGAGGAAAAGACTTACTTCAGGAATACATCCTTGGTTTGTTCTAAACTAAAGATACAAAACCTCCATTTACAGTGTATGGAGGATTGAACTGAGTTAGTCACTGTCTTTTGAACAATTTTTCTGGGGTTACTACATGTAGCTATTCATTTTATCGTTAATTTTATTCAGGCAGGAGGTAATCTCATGTCCACTCCAAAGGGACCACCACCTAACTGTGGTGGAGTGGTTTGTGTGTCTCAATGATCCATACAGCTATGTTGCCTGGAGTCTTTGACTGCTGGTAGGGCCACTCATGCCGAACAGGTCCATGGATGACCAGACTAAGTGTGGTCCCCTGGTCCTCCAGGTTGGGGGTTTGGGCTGAGGGCTAATAACCCTATCGCATAAAACCCCGTTATTACAGAAACCAGAAGCAGAGAAAATTCACTTTATCAAGGGAACACTGTGGCCCGTCCCCACAACAGGAGGAAGTGAAGACGGCTGCAGCTAACCGAGATAAGTGGAGGGACTCCTTGAAGGCCTTACAGGGTATGTACTACAAGGCACGAAGAGGATGGGTGAGGTGAGGTGAGGTGAGGTGAGGTGAGGTGAGGTGAGGTGAGGTAATGTCATGTGCATTGTGCATTGTGCCCCAAAAATGAGCAGAAACAAATAAATTAAATGAACATAATTCATTTGGTAAAAATCCCAACTGACCGTGGACAAACCAACTGACCTACAAGCAAGACAAATGAGCTGAACACGCAGCTAACAAGAACATATTCAATATATTTAACCTGGAGTCTCCGCATTGCACTTCCAGCGCTTTAAACACTCAGCCATGTTACCTCCTCAAGGGTCAGTGGCAATATCTTCATGTCATCTTCATTGACTTCTCTCTTATCTTTCAAGTCTCATTAGTTACCCACTAATACTGTAATTGTATCTGAACCACTAGAGAAGTAAAAAAGAAAACAAGAAATAAAAATATTTTAAAATTTTTATTCCTTGTCACTTGTTTGAAAGTAAGTAAAAAATTAACTAAGACATTAGTAACAGTTCAGCATGCACATGAAGTGAGTGAACAATCAATGGGTGAAAGCTAAGTCCAAGTGTGACAAATAAAC